CTCGAGGTTCCAATTTATCAGTTCTAGCATGATAATATGCAGGGCACTCAAATACCTTGAGCTGGTCATAATCGTGTGCTGGCTTTCCCGACCACTTCTCCATAGGGGTTTTCCCCTCAATCGCAGATGAAGGCAGCCTATTAATAAGGTGGCTCGCATATGTAAGTGCCTCAGCCCAAAACATCTTCTCCAAACCACTCTGCGACAATAAGCATCGGATCTTCTCCAGTAAAGACCGATTCAACCTCTCTGCCACCCTATTTTGCTGCGGTGTATGACTAACTGTGAAATGTCACTCTATGCCCTCGTCTCGACATAGCTGCTGAAAGGGGTCAGAAGTATACTCACCACCGTTGTCGGATCGCAACGTCTTGATCTTTCTCCCAGTCTGTAGTTCTAATCTCTTCTTCCACTCTACAAATAAATCTAGGACTTCACTCTTATTTGTCATGGTGTACACCCAACAACGCCTAGAATAGTCATCTACAAAAGTGACGAACCAATGTCGACCACCAAGTGATGCAGTCTTGGTGGGACCCCAAACGTCTGTGTGCACATAATCCAGGATGCCCCTCGTCTGATGAATGGCAGTCCCGAACTTCACCTTCGTCTTCTTGCCAAGAACACAGTGCTCACAGAACTCAATCTTCCCACTCTTGGCTCCCTTCAATAGCCCCTGCTTGCACAATGCCTGCAGTGACTTTTCACCTGTGTGCCCCAATCTATAGTGCCAAAGTCTGCTCATGTCCGCTTCTGAAATAGCCGAAGCAACCTGGCCAATCTCGGTGCTTCCCTTCAGATAATACAAATTCCGATTGCGGACTCCCCTCATCACCACCAATGATCCCTTAGTAACCTTCGCTACAGCGTTTTCGAAAGTCACCTTGAATCCCTTCGCCTCCAAAGCTCCAACTGAGATAAGATTTTTCTTCAGTTGAGGAACAAATCTCACCTCCTTCAACTCACGGACTACTCCATCGTGCATCCTAATCCGTACGGTACCTATCCCACAAACGCCACAGGATTGATCATTTCCCATGACAACAACGCCCCCGTCGACTTTCTCAAAAGATGCAAACCAGTCTCGCCTAGGGGTCACATGAAAGGTAGCGCCGGAATCAAGCATCCAATCTGATGCATCCACATGGTTCACCTCCGGAGTAATCAGTAGAGAAAAGCACGAATCATCGGAATCATCGCCTTTCGCAATGTTCACCTCATTGGCCTTCGGGCCCTTTTTCTTGCCATTCTCCTTCTCCTTGAGCTTCGGGCAGTCTCTCTTCCAATGTCCCTGCTCCTTGCAGAATGCACATTGGTTCTTTGTTAATTGGTGGCGGCCTCTAGACTTTGACCTCCCTCTGTTACCACCTTTCGGATATGGGCTTCTACCTCTTGTCGACAAGGCCTCTCCTGAAGTACTAGCGCGGGAAGTCTCCTTATCCTTCCTCCTCAAATCGTAGTTCGTCAAAGCGTTAGTCACTTCACTATAGCTGATAGAAGATCTCCCGTTCAACAAAGTGAGCACGAAGGTATCATACTCCTCATCCGGTAAGGAGCCCAACAAAATAATCGCCTTGTACTCATCCGATATCTTCTCATCAACATTCGCCAAGTCCGACAACAACTTCGTATAGTTGTTCACATGAGCCGCAAGCGAGGTGCCTCTGGACATCTGGAATCTGAATAACCTACGCAGCAAGTGCAATCGGTTCTCAACACTCTTCGTAAGGTACTTATTGTTGAGAATTTCCCACATCTTCATCGCAGACGTCACCCCAATCACATCATACTTCAGCTCCTGTTCCAAACAGGACCTGATCACCCCACAAGCGTTCCTATTCATTTTCTCCCATACCGCCTCTTCATATTTAGGTGGCCTCTCGTGGACCATGATGGTCTCTTCCAAATTCTGAGCATTTAACGCATCCTGTACGTCGCTCATCCACAAACCAAAGTTGATTTTTCCGTCATATTTCACCACACTAATTTTGGTGTTTTGAAAACCAACTTGTATTGTACCCGCCATCGATTTGCTGCTTTCACCTTCTTCTCCCATTGCGAACTAACTCCAAATTGTAGAGAAAGAACAAATTTGATAGAATTAGGAACCACCCAACTGAACCCTAGATCGGATTCCAAATAGATCTCCTATCCACACGAGGAAAGCGAAATCTCCAACGGCAACTCCTAATGCTATCTCCACCGAAGCCGAGAACTCCAAGAACTAAGCTTCACACAAGAATCTTCCTCCACCAAAAAACCCTAGATCTGAAATCTGGGCTCTGATACCACTTGTTGCGCGCAGCGGAAATTTCGGCAGCACTTCGGCAGCACAACAAGAGAGTCAGGTCGCAATAAGAATTCTTGTTTCTCAAAGGGAACAAGAATCTGAAGCCTATATCCTATCAAAGTAGGATATTAGCTCTTCCTCTCGTCAGCTCTAGGAAGGAGACAAGAATCTGAAGCGGATATCTCAACCAAGTGAGATATCGGCTCTTCCTCTCATCAGTTCTAGGACTGACCTATCGAGGGATCCTAAAAGCTATTACAAATCACACAAAAGCAGTACAACCAATTTTAACGTGGTTCGGCAAATTGCCTACGTCCACGGGGCAAGGAGGGGGGAGATCTACTAATAGAGGGAGAGAATACAACTAGGGTTTACAATCACTCTCAATCTAAACCCTCAAACAAACTCTCAAATCCCTCACAAATATCTCCCTACAAAAGGATGCACAAAGTGTTTTTCACCTGCAGCCGCACAAAAGAGAAAAACCAAATCTCCTGATTGCCTTTTCCTGTAGCCGCACAAGTGCACTGTAGCCGAAGTTTTGCTGCAGCCGCAAATCTTCAAAATTACCTCCTGTGCACACGTTTTCAACAAAGCCCCCTGCCTGCTACCACTTCACGAAACCCTAGGATGGGTTTTTAAATGGTTTGTTAATGGGCCGCACTGCATCCGGGTCATGTGAAAGAAATCCACAAAACTCGGTGTGGCCCCCACAACCCCACAAACACGTTTCACGTGTTCACATCCTTGAGCAGGGAAGTATACCGAACACAGATTGAACTTTAAGACCATCTCCAACCACCCTCCAAAACTCCAAAATCTCCAAATTTGGAGAGTGGAACCTCTCCAACCACTCTCCAAATTTGGAGATCTCCAAATTTGACCCTCCAAATTTGGAGGGTGGGGAGAAATTTTGGAGGGTCTCTCCATAACCCTATTCATGATTTTTTATTTACAATTTTGCCATTTTTAACTATTTGATTTCTTTAAATTTACCACTTTGTCATCATTCTTAGTAATTTAAATTAGATGTTTAATTTCAAATAAATATAGTTAAAAAATTATTAATCTAATATTTGAAATCATTATATATTTGGAAAGGGCTCGTTGAGATCTTTAAAATGAAACTAAGATTAATTTATTTTAGTATTATTATAAAATTATTAATTTTTAAATTAAATAAATAAATATCAGACATGAAATTTTAAAATACGGGGATCTATTTAACTTGCTCCATAAAAAAAATACAAGCATAAATTACGAATATGAATTTCCCACTGGAAATCAAGGAGGATTTTCTCAATTTGCGGGCGAAGCTGGTTCTGTAGGAAGAAATGAATATGGTGGTTCTTCGAGAGATCGGGATGGAACCGGTAGTTATAATGATAATGATCTGTCAGAATTTTAATTGTCACTTATCATATTTTATATTTGAGGTTTATGTTTGCGACCTATGGTATGTTGTATTAGAGGTTAATATTTGCTTTCTTGTTCTATCGATGTATGCTTTCACTGTTATTTCAGAATTTCTTCTTTTGTAACCTGTATCATAATTCTTTCCTAAAATACTATAATTAGCAGGAGGAGAAATACCTTGTGCTAGTTGGTCAAACAAATTTGAAGATTGCAGTACGTTAATATCATTGTTAGATCCTGGTAATCCAAAAAAAGCATGCCATATCCATAAGTCATATGAGGCTACTGCCTCTAGAATCATTGATGGGCCTCCGTGACGTCCCGAGTACTGTCCCGCCCAAGCCGTTGGACAATTTTTCCATTTCCACTGCATGCAGTCTAAACTGCCCAACATTCCCGGAAATCCGCGCTCTTCTCCTTTCCTTAGCAACCGTGCAATGTCACCCGTAGTGGGATACCTCAAATATTCATTTCCAAACACCTCTATAACTGCCCGACAAAACCTCTTTAAGCATTGGATTACGGTTGACTCACCAATCTTAGAGGAGCTGTAGGAGGACAAAACGAATATGAATTTCCCACTGGAAATCAAGGAGGATTTTCTCAATTTGCGGGCGAAGCTGGTTCTGTAGGAAGAAATGAATATGGTGGTTCTTCGAGAGATCGAGATGGAACCGGTAGTTATAACGATAATAGCCTGCCAGAATTTTAATTGTCTCTTATCATATTTTATGTTTGAGGTTTATGTTTGCGACTTATGGTATGTTGTATTAGAGGTTAATATTTGCTTTCTTGTTCTATCGATGTATGCTTTCACTGTTATTTCAGAATTTCTTCTTTTATGATATGTTGTATTGTAGTATTAATATTGAGTTCATTTTAAAGCTCTCATCGACACCTTTATAATGTTATAAATTTTTTTTCCCAAATAAATTATTAACAATGAAATTATTAACGTAAACTATATCCAACATTCTTTAATTTATATGGCTTCTTTGACAAAAAAAATAAAAAGAAAAACATTTAGAGAGTGTGGGTTGGAGCAACCCTCCAAATTTTACCCTCCAAATTGGAATATTCCTAGAATATTCTAATTTGGAGGGCCAAATTTGGAGGGTATGATTGGAGATGCTCTAATACCAGGGGCACATGCTTCGACGTTTGCACCCCACTGGTCCCTCCAAGTTGGCTATCAAGCCATCAATTACGACCGCTCCACTCACAGCCAACCATTAAACGTCTCCGACGCCTCCAATTCCCCTCGGACACAACAACAACAACAACAACATCCCAGATGGCTCGTTGTATTCTCGCCCTCACCGCCTTGATGCTCTTCTCCTTTCGCACCTCATCCTCAGCCTGTAACGTCCAAGACAGAAGAGCCCTCGTCGCCTTCAGAGACTCCTTCCCCCCAAACTCACTCCCGTCATGGACCTCAACCCCCGATTGCTGCTTCTGGCAAGGCGTCCGATGCAGCAAGCGCACTGGCCGCGTCAGGCTCCTCTCCATCTTCAAGAACAAGAACCTCACCGGCGCGATCCCTCCATCCATCGGCAGCCTTCCTTATCTCGAAAGCATCGCCCTCAGTCGCCTTCCCAACCTCGTCGGCCCCATCCCTCCCCAAATCTCCAACCTCAGGAAACTTCAATTCCTTACCATTTATGAAACCAAAGTCTCCGGCCCAATCCCCAACATCTTCTCCAAAATGCCTCAGCTCAAAGAGATCAATCTTTTAAACAACAACATCACGGGCTCGATCCCTGCCTCCATCGGCGACATCCCCAACCTCTTTACGCTCGATTTGTCGGGCAACAGACTAACAGGGACCATCCCTGCATCTCTCTTCTCCAGGGCTGTGAGCTCGATTACCCCGGACCTCGATTTGTCGAACAACATGCTGACTGGAGACTTACCGTTGTCATTTAATAAAGTCAGATTCACTAACTTCGACCTGTCGAATAACAACCTCACTGGGAGCTCGGCTTGGGTCCTCTTCGGCAGCTCAAAGCCAGTTACTCAGATAATCTTGAGCAGCAATGAGATGGTGTTTAATATGTCGAAGATCGAGGATTTTCCTGTGAACTTGACGTATTTGGATATTAGTCACAATAAGATTTTTGGGGCCATATCAGATAAAATTACTCAGTTGACTAATTTTGGTTACTTGGATGTGAGCAACAACAATTTGTGTGGAAAGATTCCAAGCGGAGGTAAGTTCAGAGATTTCGGTCCTCAGGCGTACCAGAATAACACTTGCCTTTGCGGAACACCGCTGCCTCCATGCAAATGAAGAGATGTCAGCACCAAAAGGCTGTATGCATTACTTTCCTATTATGGAATTTATATTCCAAATATTTTAAGATGCTGCGTCATTATATATGAGCAGATTTAGTAGATGAATCATGAGTTCGAATGATCGAATTCAAAAGGCATGCAGTTGCAATATTCAGTTGATCTCTATTCTGTTCCATGTGGTATGGTAGCTGTAATTCCTCAAGTTTTTATGTGAAAATAGATTTTAGGAAATAAATAGCATTGCTTCCCAGGTGAATTACAATTGTCAGAAATTTCCCAAAATCAGACTCATCATGCTCTTAGCAAAAGGCGCAAGATAAATGCCTCTTACTTAAGCTGCTAGCTAATAAGTCCATCCTTCACCAATGGATTTCTCAGTTTGTAACGCATTATGTTGACTATGTTGATACTGATATGAGTGGGTGAAGAAAAGCCCCACTCACATCCTTTTGTATACAAATGCATGTTAGCAACGGAAAAATAAGCAAGAGGGTAAAAACATAGATATTGGTGGTAGTTATTACGAGCACTGCATCCTCTTGTGCAGACACTAACATTTTAGGCTATGAAGCTTCTTTTCCTATACGCAGACACTTAGGCTATGTTTGGTTTGAGAGAAAGGGAGAGAAAAGGAAAGACTTCACATTGACTGCTCAAAGAAATTACCGCACAAAAGAGGTGCTAGTTGTCACTTAATGTTAATAAACTGTCTCCTTTGCAATCACTGGCCATAGAAAAAAAATTTAAAACACCTGCCACCAAATTTGGGTGATATTTGGTTCCTAACTGGAAAACCTTTCAATGAAGCATGACATAAAAAATTCCTTCCAGAGCTCCATCCAAAACTATTCTAGTTCCTGCAATCACGAAGTCATCAAAGGCGCAGAATTTTTCCTCGTCTGGATGCTTAACATTAGCCATGTCACAAAATGTTTTGAATTAGAAAATAACATAACAAGTAATTACCTGCGTTATGCAAGTAGCAAAATCCATTTAGTTCTAGTTTCTCCTTTTAAAATATCCTAGGACACTGCAGTGAAACTATGTATATTTTAGTTATAACAGTTGAAGGCTAATATCAAGGCAAGTATAACTCATAGTTCTGGAAAGAAAAAGAAAAGAATAGAGATTCTAAATGCTAATATTCAAGGTTTAGTTCTTAGCCTCCTGTAATAGAGGTAAAGTATATCGAATAGAGATTCTAAATGCTAATATTCAAGGTTTAGTTCTTAGCCTCCTGTAATAGAGGTAAAGTATATCTCATTCTCAGTCTTAATGACAAACTTCATGGTTTAGTTCTTAGCCTCCTGTAATAGAGGTAAAGTATATCTCATTCTCAGTCTTAATGACAAACTTCATGTCTAAGGTATATGCATGCAAAAAAGCATGCATAACATGGGTTGAAATTTTCATATAGAACAAGTATGATACGCACGACATCAAAATTAAAAATTTACCTTCTCCAAAAAGGATAAAGAGTTCCCAAATTAGCACCAAAGATATTTGACTCTTGCTAAATTAACATGAGTATTAAATAAAAGACAAACTATCTATTTGACTCGTGCTAAATTAACTAAGATCAAGTTCTCTACTGATATATTTGTTGATGAGGTGTTCTACCAATATAAAATTTATTGGGGAAACATAGATAGCTAATACAGTGAAAGGACATATGTGGAAAGAATAATCATCTGAACTCTAGAACACGAACTCAATCTAAGATTGATATGATCAATTCAATCAACAACAATCCTTCTGAAACTCAATCACATATCTTAATGCAAAAAAAAAAATTTGAGTCCTTTCAGACATGATCTACCCCATTCTTCCTAAATTAACTAAGAATCTAAAATCAGGTGCTCCACTGATATATTAACTCAAAACACTATTTTTTTATTTTTTTATTTTTGTAGTAAAAACATATGAAGTCACAATCAAATCAAATTGATGAAAGATACAAATTTGGTTGCAAAAATACAACAATTAGCTTCCATATGCATGCACTAAACAAATTTTAGGACAAATTTTCAAAAACGTCCTATTTGGACATTTAATCCCAAAAACCAACCTATTTCATATTTATTTTTAAAAACCGACCTGGTTTCAGCCTCAGCGCTGAAACCAGGTCGGTTTTTGTGAATAAACTTCACAAACTTCATGGGACTTAAAGTCCTGTGAAGTTTAGTAGCTATTTTGTTAAGCTGCTAAACTTCACGGGACTTGAAGTCCCGTGAAGTTTAAAAGTATAAAAAAACTTCATGGGACTTCAAGTCCCGTGAAGAAGTCCCGTGAAGTTGTTTTATCTTATTTTCCAGAGAATCGCGACTCTGGAAAATGAGAACTGCAACTTCACGAGACTTGAAGTCCCGTAAAGCTACATGTTTTAAAAAACATGCACAGCATGTGCATGTTTTTTTATATATGCAACATAATCACGAAAGCTACACATATAATCCAAAATATACATAAAATTTTCTCCATGAATCAATCGATTTACATGAATCAAACAATATATACTGAATCAAACAATAATCACGAAAATACACTTGTGAACAATAATCGATCTCATATACATTGAATTATAACAATATTCTTAAAATTCAACCATGAATTAAAACATGAATCAAACAATACTCACAGAGATCACATATATGAACAATAATTGATCCACAAAAGTATAGTATTTGAAAAATTATAAAAGTTACAAATTTCAACAAAATAAGATCACATACAACCCAAAATTCCTCCTCTCCTTCCCCTCCCTCTCTTCCCCCTTCCCCTCGCTCTTCCCCACCCCCTTCCTGCACTGATGAGCCTCGATTATCTGAGTATCTGGTTGTGTATGAGCCAGATGTACCGGCTCCATCAGCATGGAAGTGTCGGCTCCATCGTCATCGTCAGCGTCGAGTGTACATTTTCCCAAATGATCGTGACCTGTCCTCACGACATGCAAACTCGTTGACATAAGTCTTATGAAACACCTGTGCTATTATCTGCTTGATCCTATTGAAGACCCCTAACGTCACCGGATCCTGAATCTCAGGCATGTGATCATCAACCTTAGCTTCAATTTTATCAAAAGCACGGACCTGTGAGTTAAACAATATATACACAATTTAGCAAATAACATCTTAATAAAAAAATTACTGTTTTAATTTAGCTTAGAAACTTACATAATCTCTCTCGATCATCCCACTAGGGATGTAACTATTTATCGGTGGGCGTGGTAGGTGTCTAGCTGATGGCTATGGGTCACGCGTGATCCATCTACGTGTGACATCCCAATACTAATGCATATACACGGTATAGTTAACAGTTGTGTCTCTCGTATCATGTATGAAATCCCACCAGTGAATCCACCTGTCTATTAGGCCGCTGATGCGGCATAAACATGTACCAAAAAGGTTGCAAGTGTACAACCGTGTCAAGTTATAGTATTTAAGATATCGATCCCACGAGGAATGTGTTTTGTAGGAGAAAATATAAAATCGGTTCTTATGTTGTGTGTGTGACAAGTAGGAGTGATAAGTGAATGTGATTGTGGAGAGATAGAGAGAGTGTAAGTGATAGTGTGTAAATCGGCACGAGATATAAGTGAGAGTGGATGTGACAAAGAATGAATATGATCAATAAGGCAAGAAGGAAAAGGAAAATAAAAATCAAGAATAAAGAAAATAAAATTCAAGAATAAAAGAAAATGCAAGAAATTAAAGATGGTGGATTCAATTATAGATATGGGTAATCTACAATTGAACCCACTTCTTAGAAAAGGGTGATTCCCTAGAGGGTTCTAGCCTAAAGGCGAATCAAACAAAATAAAAATAAACAAAAAGAAAAACTAAACCCAAGAGGGTTCTAGCCTCAAGGTGAATAGTATAAGAAATTAAAATCTAACTACAAAATAAAGTGCAAAATCTAAACTACAAAATAAAATTGCAAGAATTAAATGCAAGAAATTAAATCTATTCTATAAGCATGAAATAAATCTAAGGCAAGAGGGTTCTAGCCTCTTGGCTATTTAACAAGAAAATAAAATCTAAACTACAAGCATAGAAATAAATCTACACTAATAAGCAATAAAAAGGAAATAAAAGAGAAAAAGGAAAGAAAATGCAAACCTCTAAATAATTCTTCATCTCCATCTTCATCATCCAACAAAGAGAAGAAATATTTAAAGTGGTGAAAAAATTATTATTATTAATTGCAACTAAAGTTACAATTTTTGGAAGGCCTTCTCAATTAAGAGTAGCCCTCCTCTCCAAAAGGAGTTTACAAAATTTTCACACCTCTAACCCCTCACTCTCTACCCCTATTTATAGTAAACATCAGTGAATGAGAGCCATTGGATTGAAATCTTATCCAAAAACAACAAATTTCAGCCTTAGATTCGTAACAGACTGCCCAGCGTATCGATGCAGGCATCGATACAGGCATCGATGCAGGCATCGATGTCGGTATCGATGCAGGCATCGATGCATGCCCTTCTCCTTTTGTTGTCCGCAGATTCTTCTTGTTGTTTGCTTTTGGGCTTTGGACATTGGGCTTTTCTTGGACTCTTGGGCTTGGGCTTTGATTTATTTCTTCATTTAAATACTTGAAAGAATTCATTGGGCTTCATGGCTTCATTTCTTCATTAAATTATGGGCTTTTTGTTGAGAGATGAGGGTTTTGAGATTTATTCTTCATTAACCTGCAATTAAAGATAAAAACAATTATTAGTAGTATATTTATTCATATAAAATAGATAATGAGGGTATAAAATTGTAATAAAATGTGATTATCAAGTACCCCAAAACCTAAACTTTTGCTAGTCCTCTAGCAAAGAAAATAAAAAGAAAATCCTAACTCACTTTCGCAGGAATCGCGGTTGTATTTAGCGCATACAACAAGCCTTTAAACCCCTAGGTTACCCTAGTGGACGAGTTGTAGTCTCGTGAGGGTTTGCAGTGAATATACCCACAAAATTCGGTCAACTTGCCAAATTAAAGAAGTCAG